CTGAGAATAATACGCACGGAAGAAAAAGTTTTATTTTACTCTTCAGAGGAGAAGAATACAAACAGTTGAACTGTTAGTGTGGCTCAGGCGAGGTAGCTGCCTAACCCTGCAGATAAGGAGACTCACAACACACCAACATTGAGTCTTTACAAGAGAAACACTTCAGTTAATCAAAGAAAATCAGAATCAGAAAAACATTTCAGAGAACTCTTTTCCTTTCACACCAGAAACAGAACGAGGGAACCTTGAACACAGTAAGGACATGTTTATCTATGTTTGCCCCTTATCTAAACTAGGGAGGAAACTTCTTCTTTTGAAACCTCCTTTCTTTTCCTACATTTTAGCATAAAGAATGGAACAAGGCTTCTAAATAATCACCCCTATTCAGGCAAAAAAAAGGCACACTTTAAACATTTTATCCCCTCCAGGGACCCGGTCTACCTGGACCGGATCCTCCAGGGACCCGGTCTACCTGGACCGGATCCTTCCAAGTCCATGAAAATACGGAGGCTGAAAGAGTTTTTACTGTGGATTCAAACAGGTCCAGCCTTTCACAGTCTTTGCACGGAGTATGGTTTTGAGCGCAGAGAAGCCATTGTTCTGTGAGACCAGCATACCTTTAGTCAATACGCATTTGCTAGACATCAGATTTGCATTTATCCCTTTAGTTTTGTACGAAAAATAGACGTTAAAGGGGTCATTGAATGCAAAACCGAGTTTCCATTGTCATGGATGAATAAACGATAGTTCAGTTGGTTAAATGAACGTACAGAGAAGTTCAAACCTCGTCAACACCTCCGTTCTCTGCAAATCTTACAATTCTAAACTTCCACCATAAAACAGGCGAATGCAAACAAAGCACTTAGTTGACGTAAACTTGGGGAAGTTGCCTTATTTGGTTTTGGCCTGTACTTATATCACGCCCTGGAACTCACTCACAGACCAGCCCACTGGTTCACTGGCTCAAGGGTGGGGGGGGTATGAAGTGTCGACTGCTGGGCCGCTGACTGGACCAGACCTCAGCAGAGAGCAATGACGGGTGGCAGGCGGGGGGTAAGCATGCGGGCCGCCAGTGTCCAGGCTACCCTCACCAGGTCATGTTCAGTCACTCTGTCCCCTGCTGGCTCCCTGCCCCCCTCCGCAATGGTTCCCTGACCAGCCCCGGAGCTGACGGCTCAGTTCAAGTGCCCGGCGTGCTTTGAATACATGCTGTACTGTAGGGGACCAAAATCCCGGACGATTTTGAAATTCCCCCCGGACATTTTTTCAGGTATGGAAAGGACATGTCTGGAAAAAAGAGGACATCTGGTCAACCTACCATATCGACAATTTGATGTTTCAGTGAGTGAGTGCTTGTTGCTATGATGCGTCTTTGCTCAACAGCTTTGCTCGTTGTAAACCAACCAATCAGAGCACAGCTCATCTAAATATTCATGAGCATACCATAAAAGGAAGGAAAACTGTTGTTTCATTCTGGGGCTTTTAACCAGGCTGCATTAGGGCTCATAGAACAGCAATTATGCCATTTTCAACCAATGTTACACACCCTACTCAGAGACCTTAAGGACCTGCACCAGATACCCTATGGAATCATTCTATCACCCCTTTAAACTACCTCAAAGGGTGTGTTTTCCTTGAATCATGAACAAATAAACTATTGAAGATCAGATTGCCATATGCTTCAATACAAACCAAAAAGTAAGTAATTAAAAAGGTTTTTTGTACATGACTAAAGGGATAGGTGCCCTTTGAGGAAGTTTAAAGTTTATTTTTCCTACAAAGCTAAAGGCATAAACTAAAGAGATAAACGGGTATTGACTATATGTATGCCTGTCTGACAGAACACCGGCGTGCTTGGACTCGCAATGAATCATGGGATACCCCAGGCTACGGAGGATACAGCGGACCCATCTTTCAAAACGGGCAAAAAGAAGGCTGCATTTGTCGGCCCAATAAGGAGGAGTCTTCTGATCCAAACAGGCCTCGGCGCCGCGCTATGACCTAATCGGCCTTCATATCTGGCCTCCAGAGGACGCAGCCGCTGGATTCGAACTCAGACTCAGATTTTGAGTTCTGGCCCGTAGACGTCTGTTACATGTCCTCCTCTCAAATCTATGTCTGTCACTTTCTAATCAACGCCGCTAGCGGCACAAAAATGTCCAAAATCACAGGAAAAAACTGAACTCAGCCGTTCCACCGTAAGGACAAGAGTTATAGGCAGAGGACATTAAAACGGACCTGGCCTGTCGAAAGAAGCTTTACTTTTTCCATAATAATAATTATAGTATGGTGAATTTTGTCACCTGACTGTTATTGCTGCTGTATGTGAAGATGCATGGGACCTAACCACTTGTTTCTGTCGTTGCAGATCAGCAGGTCAGTCTGGAGACCTGTAAGGCTCTGACCAATGAGCTGCAGAGATGCTTCAGGAGAGCAACACACCTGTACAGGAAGGTGATGACCGTGCTTCCACCGTTGGCTTCATCACTGATATTCCCACTTATATTTTCAGATGCTCATTAAAACCTGTCCAGTTTATAATCCTCAGTCATTTTAGAGACTTACTTGCTGATTCTGAGTAAATCTGATTTCACTGCAGCTAAAATAGTCTGAGGATATCTGAACTTTCTGTATTTATTTTAAAGTCACAGGTGTTGTGTTTATTAGAGAGAGTTGAACTGATGTCCTGAATAGGAACAGAACTGGCCTTTTAAACCATATTCTGAATCTTTGCCTAGCGACTAGCGCTGTTAGCATTACTAAACATCAATCTCTGCTTGTATTTCCTAGAGAACATAAAATCTAATGCTACGTTCAGACCTAAAGCAGCAGCAGCAGGAGCAGCGAAAACGTGCGTGCTGCTTCATTTTTTATGCTTGTCCAAGTTCAGTTCAGACCCGCAGCTGAAGCATCTTTGCTGCTCTAGCTGTGGGGTGGTAAAGTGGGTCTGTTGCGCCTTGGGCGGAGCTTCCCTAACCTTTCTTTGCCTGAAACAATGGCAGCTATATTTGCTGTGATTAGTGGTATAAAAAGTAGTTTGAATCTATTTTGAAGTGAGAAAGTCCTCCTGAAAATATGGTCTGTGCAGTCAGTTCATCCAGATTACCATCCTGCCTTTATTATTTCTCTGTGGGAGCCGCTCAGACCCCCACATACCGGCGGATGTTAGCATTTTTTCAGGTATGTGCTACAAACTGCAGGCACCAGGATAATAAAAGTAAACGTTTTCCTGGCAGGTTTCCACAATCAAAGTTAATTTAGGCGTTAATAAACTGTTTCAGAGGAGTGATCATAGCGCTCTGCATCAGCAGTGCTGTGTCTGTCTCCCTGCCAGCTCCCAGATCAGCTTCTCTGATTGGTTGATGTGGAGCGTCCAGCAGCTAAAGTTCAATTTTTCCAACTCCAGCCTCGGATGCTCAGAAGCTCCTGATGCGCTGCTCCTGCTGCTGTAGGCGCTGCAGGACCTTTAGCTCCGCCTTGATGTGCGTCAACCATAGACTTTGCATGTAAACTAGCGGCCTAATCTGCTTGCGGTCTGAATGTAGCATTACCCCAAACTCCACAAAGCTGCCAATAATTTTATGTCCAGCTGCTCCACTGAGGGAAAAAGGATGAAAGCGGGCAGCCTTCTACCTTCATCTTTACCGGGAACTCCAGGGATTCTAGACCTGCTGGTCCGAACTGATCCGATACCAGAACACAGGGAGAACGGTCTCATTTATAGGGAATGCACTGCTGCTAGTTGCCTATAGGGGGTGCTAAATCTTGAAGTTACATGTCTACCTCCCCCTAATGGTTGCACAGAG